CACCTGAAATTTATATAATGTTATAAACCAATGTTACTGCAATAAAAAAATAAAATAAAATGAAAAAATAAACTTCAGGATACCACGTCTGTATTTACAGACCACTATCTATTATTTACTACATTTTATTAAAGCTCTTCCTTATGTGCATTTCTCTCCATTTCTATAAGCTCTCTGAGTACAGGAACCATGTCATATCCCTTTTTATACCTAGTCTAGTACTTGGCCCTGAGGAGTAAGGTTTCTGTCACTTTTTGTTCAACAGAACCTACTTCTCTGTAGGTGAGTTTCCAAGTGAAGTCAAGATTTTGCAGCTTAGATCAACTAGATAAAAACTGGATTTGTGTGAATAGGATAACGCTCATGATTAATATTTTATTATCCATTTTTTCAAAGATCCTCAACCTCTATAGGAACAAACAAGAGTTTTCATCAGAGTGCATTGCACATTGATAATCTTTCTCAAGAAGTGGATCTTGCTTCATTAATGATTTTTTTCATTAGTTGATAGTTTCAATTTGGATGTCTCTACCAGTATTAGTATTTGCTTTCTTTACAACATTATAATGTCTCTAAAATTCAGTATGTTGGCTTCAATAATGATAATCCAGGACTTTATGGTCACTGAATATCTCACAACCTTAAAATTTTATTTATTTGTAATTCTTACAAAGAATAAATGATCACTTTTATAAGAAAGATCATGATATATTCTTTAACAATATTGACAACACTTTATAAACAAACACAATGGTCTTAGGAGAAAAGACCATTCTGTCCTGGTTTCCACTGGATGTAAAATCCAGTGCAAAGCATTATTAAGAAATTTTTTCAGGACCATAGCCTAGGATTAGAAAATAAATCTCCTTTACCCATCATGCTTTCTTTTCAGCCTCTATTATTTCATTTAAAAATGTAAAAAAAAAATTGAAAACCATGTTACTCTCTTCAGGAAATTCATAAAGATGCTTTTAGATTATCAGGATACCACTTAGAAAATTACAGAAGTGCAGTGAATTGTATCTGGGAGGAACAATAGAAATGGCTAACAGTTCACACTGCTGAGGGTCTGTAGGATGAGATATTCAAATAAGCTACTGGGAACTTTCCAGCCCCTTGGATCTTCATTGGTCTGAAACTCCCTTCACTTCTTGAATTATCAGGCAGCTTGGAACAGAAGGCAAGGAGACCCCCGGTGAGGGAGCAAGAGGGCTGCAGTGGCTCCCCTCCCTTACCACAGCACGGGAGTGGCTGCAGAGCAATAAACGGCTTTCCATTCAGTTCTAAAATTGCTTCTTTTTTTCCCCATTTGACATAAATCTTGGAAATGTTTGCATGTAATTAAAAAATTGCCTTGAGCATTACTTTTGCTAGTTGTATAATGTCATTGATAGGATGAAGCATAATTTATTTTAAATTTCCATACTATTAGACACGTAAGCTGTTTCTAAATATTTGCTACCGTTCTTTCCATATTAATCTTTAACCACATTTCAAATAATATCCCAATGAAAATTTCCTAAAAGTGAAATTACGAGGTGACAAATGTGAAAATTTTAAGTCTCTTAGTGAATACTGCCAAACTGTTCTTCAGAAAGATTAATTCAATTTATACTTTCAAATGCAGCATATGAAACTGTTTGCTTCCCCAGGATGATTTTTAAAAAGTTTTTAAAAACAGCTCAAGAAAATTGATGGGTTATTTTTGGGAGACCTTAATTCACATTTTCGATTACTAGTAGTATAGAAACTCCTATATAATTTTGTATCACCATTTCTATTTCCTTTCTATGAACTGCCTATTCACGCCTTTGCTTATTTTTCTATTATTTCTCAATTTGTATAAATGTCTTTGTATATTTAGGATATTAATGAATGGTCTCATATTTATGACAAATATTTTCCCAATTTATTTTCTCTCATAATTTTCTTTATAATAATATTTTTATGTTTGGAAGTTTCAAGTCATGATGCAGTAGAATTCCTGTCTTTTCCATTGAATTTCCTTATATTGTTCTGTGTTTTGAAAATTCTTACTGAGACACTTAGTATAACATACCTAATTTTCCTTTTGCTGTCTCTTTCTTTTTTTTGCATTTGGTTCTCTACACATCTTTTCCCTATATAGATATTATCAGCTAACGCCCCCACCTTCACACTCGTTATTGACCAATTTGTTCACACCATTTATTGGCATCAGTAAGAAAGGAATGTGCTTTGTCTGTTCCACATTTTTGTCTTTGCAGAAGTTCTCTGTAACAACAAATCACTTCTTTTAGCTATGTCATTCTTGTCATAAGAGAATTAGTCTCAGAAGAAGACAGTGGAGGAGCACAGTTGCATTGTGAATGAGCACTGAATATGTATAGCTATGCACAGAGCTAATACAGCTCCCTTCTTTGAGTCCAGTGGCCTTCAACACCTATCATAAGTTAGTTTAGCAAAAATCGCTATTCTGAGGGTGGTACCAGCCAATAACCAGGACCAAAGCGAATTACACAGGGAAAATTTAAGATAAATTAATGGTTTTCTTATTCTAAAGAAATTTTGGTCCCTAAATGTGGCAACAAATCTACAATGAAAGGATAATATTTTTTTGAACTCCTATCAACTTTCTTCTTGTTGATACAAAAGTCGTAGAGATTTTAGAAGTAGTTTGAATTGATGTGTCAGCATAAACTATGTCCATATAGTTTTTAAATTTTTTCTCTAAGTGTTTTCTTATTTCTTGTGCATGATTTTATGTTCCCTCTAGACAAAACTATTCAGAAGAGCAGGGATCATAGATGATAAATATTTTGGAATTCCTGTCTACTCTGCCAAATCACATTAAATATAATACTCTGCACAAAATAGATGATCAATATATGAAGCAGCATGCATTAAGTAGATCTAGAATTCTATTTTGAGGTGAAAATTTTTTAACGTGAATGAATATTTCTATATTAGTGCTTGCTGTTCCATACAGATCCAAAGACTTCTCAATTTCTTTTCCCAAATCTTCTAGGCCTGATGAATATATTCTTATTTTGAATCTCTAAGTTGATAATTGATTTCTAGTTGACAACTTAGAAAGTAATTACTCACTGGTTATGACATTCAGAGTGCAATGATTGCTAAGAGAAATAGATTGAAAAAAGTAAGGCAAGTAAACAGTAGAATTGATAGATGTCAAACTCGTTTCTCCCCAGTACTTTCTAATATTTACTCTTCAGAACATCCCTACGTAATTCCAAAAGGACACAGAAGAGCATCAAAAGTTATTTACCTCTGAAAACCAAAAGACATGAAATCAGAGATTAGGAGTAATTTTATAGTACAAAAATGGAAAGGAATGGAAGTTGGACAATAATGTCTTTTATTGAGCTTGTTTGGGTCAGCACCATTCCTTGTCTTCTATATAACTTTTCTTTCTTTTTCTTTCCAACTGAACAGAAGACTTTGTCTTCCTCCAAATTGGACAATTAGCCACTGAGGTGTGAACATTTTGATAATCTAGAAAGCATCCTTTTACCAGCCACAAGTTTGTGAAGAAACCATAGCTGGTACAGAAGGAAGCTTTCCACATACTAACTAGGGCTGGACCACCTGTCTCCATGCTCAGCTTCTCAAACTCTGGGACCTGAAAGTGTCCATTGCGAAAGGATAGGCAAACTCTCAGATTCCTCTCATCCTAATCCACTCCTTGCTGGCTAGAAGGGGATGGAATTCTGATGCTGATGCATTCGTCTGGATGGCACTCCTCTGTCTCCACCTCCTGCTACTGGCCAGAGAAGCATGACAGGCATGATTTACTCAACAAGCACTTTGCTGAGTGACTGCAAAAGCACCATATTAGTGGCTGGGCAGTAGACGTAGGTAGTGGACACAACAGTGACATTACTTGCCCTGAATGCTTCCCAGAGTGACTGCTGCTGTGGTTGGGCCAATTCTGGGCATATACACATTTATTTGTTCTTTTGCTGTTTTACTCTTAGTTGTCAAAGAGTAGATTCTTCTGTAGATCCTAAAAAGCATCAAACACTAATTATGATGGCACTTAATCAATACTTCCTATGACAACTAGATTAAAATCAAGGAAAATGTCCTTAATCCTAGGAAAACAAAAGACAATCCCACACTAAGCTGAAAGAGTTAATTCCAGTAGGCCTGACTTTGGCCTGGGCCATTTCACTGACATAGGAAATGCACCTGTGTTGCATTGACGCTTGTCAAAGCATGGAACATGATGAAAGCAGTGCTGCTTATAACCATAGTTTTAAGAGGTTCCCATTATTTATTGACTAACAGTTATGGTGATAAGATTGATCATTTGCATCTGGTCTGATTGAGACAGTGGGAGGGCTCTGTCACTCGGTTGGCTGTATAGAGAGAGTGCCCACGTGATTGGACGGTATATGAAAGCCCAGCTGAGACGACATTTTGGGTCAACTTGTTTGAGGTGCTTTGTGCACACATTTGTGGTTCCTGGAGCCAGAGACAGTGCATGCTGGTATGGTCTGTACAGGAGGAGGACAAGCGGACCTCCCGTCTGGCTTCTCTGGACTCCTTGCCCTGGGCCAGCCTTTGGCTGTGATGCACATCCTCGCTTGAATGCAGCTTTCAGACTGTAACCTCTCCCTGCCGTGAACTGCACATGCACAAGCACTGTCATTTTGGGTCCTGTGAGCCTTCGTTAGGGACAGAGCGCTGTCTAACTGCCGCTGTTAGTGTGTGGACACTGACCCAGGCAAAGGAAACATTACTGACAGGCAGAAAGAGGAAACTGTGTCATTTCTGAGGGAGGCAGAGCAACTGGAAGACTCTTCTACAACCCCCAAGACACTCATCTCTCTGGCAACCCTTAGAGTTTGTTTATAGGAAAATAGATGATGATGGTTTCACTGACACAAACCATTAACTTTTCAGCTTATAGAAGTCTTTCAAAATAATCTGAGCTGCAGAAGGCTAATAAAACAGATATTAATGAGTATCCCAGTGAATGAAATTAGGAAACTTACATATTTCTTGCCCAGGTGTGGGGAGGATTCATCAAGCTGTCAGTTCTTGGTTTTGCCTTGTGCACAGTGCTCACCTGAAAACAAGATACATTTTGATCTACAAGCTCACAGAGTGAATAGGCTGAGTAAAGTTTCTTGGGCTGTTTCTTGTTTTTCAAGGAAAGTCCAATTTCCCTGCAAGAACGTCACCAGAGCCACAATTTGCCTCTTGGTATTGCCTGGAAATTGTTCACCAAGATTTATGAGCATTTTTTGGCCATAGTCTGTTTTCACCCTAAAGGAGCAATGCTAACTCACTCCCCAGGGGTAGGGGGTGTGAGTTGGCAGGTGACAACAAGAGAGAAACGCTAGGGAAGGAGTTGTTGATTTTTGCTTGTTCCATGAGCTGGCTCTGCCTAAGCAAAACTATGTCATATATATAAAATTCCAATTTATCAGGAAGACATTCTAGGGTCCTATGTTTAAATAATTCAGTGAGAGTTTTGTGAAAATGAACTTACAGACCAAGATGAACACTTTGGTGACATACAGAGCGGCACAGGGGACGTTATTCAAAATAACCGTGTTATTCCATCTTGGAAAATCAACATGTATTACTACCTCGTAATATCTCTACATGGCTTAAATGGCCATTTTAATATTTGACCATATTATGCATAATGGAAAATAGAGAAAAATAGAGAATAGAAAACAATTAAAAATTACTCGTGAAACACAACCTCGATACAATGAATATTGGCATTTGGGATATTTCCTTCCAGTTGCTTTTTTCTAGGTATGTATGTGTTTCATTTTCTTTTACTAAAATATCATTATTATAACTGCTATTGGAATTAAATTGTTACCGAATATTTCTCACATTTCCTATTCGCAATTAGACTTCGAAGGGAGATATTAGGAATATCTCTAGGATGATGGGAAGCTGAGAGACCCAAGCATTCTTCCACGCCCTTGGATCTGTGGTTACCACGTTTCACATTACCTGTGTCTTTCAGGTAGGTTCAAGCATCAGGATTGGTCACAGTGTATAAAGCAACATGGCTCAAAGTATGCAGCTTTGAGAACAAATGTCACCGTTTTGCCCCAGATTTTATCTGCCAGTTAGGAAACGCTGTATCTGGGGACTCCATTGATGTCACCTGTCACCTGCATGGTCATGGCAATAATAAAAAGTGCCAGAGACCTGTGGGGGAAAAATTCAGGACCCTCCTTCAAGAGCTCCTTGGGTCTTATGCTCCGAGAAGGGCCAGGGAGTGGGCAGTGCCCCTCAAAGCCCCCACCCAGTGCACGCTTGTGCTCACTATTGTTTACTTTGCAAAAGATACAGCACCGCCTGGAATCCACGGCTGTGAAGAACAGGAATGAGCAGTAAACAAAACAAACATTTGTTGAACGCCTACTGTCTGTCAGAAGTCATGCAAAGCAAATATATGAAAATCATTACAATTCCTAATATCTCCCTTCGAAGTCTAATTGCGAATGGGAAATGTGAGAAATATTCGGTAACAATTTAATTCCAATAGCAGTTATAATAATGATATTTTAGTAAAAGAAAATGAAACACATACATACCTAGAAAAAAGCAACTGGAAGGAAATATCCCAAATGCCAATATTCATTGTATCGAGGTTGTGTTTCACGAGTAATTTTTAATTGTTTTCTATTCTCTATTTTTCTCTATTTTCCATTATGCATAATATGGTCAAATATTAAAATGGCCATTTAAGCCATGTAGAGATATTACGAGGTAGTAATACATGTTGATTTGCCAAGTTAACAATAAGATAAGAGGAGGGAAAGCCTGGGCTAGTCAAGGAAGCCTTGGTGGAAATGCAGAGAAGGGCTGAGAAGCCAGACTCTTAATCCATGTACGGCTTTGTAAATCTATGAATCTTTTGCTCACTTTTACACTTTTGTTCATTTCTTGCTGTTAATGAACTTTTATTTGTAAAAATAAACAAAAAAGTGACTGTGAATTTAAGGCCTTGTAGACAAGCTAAAGTGTTTGAACTTCACCTTAGGTAATGCAAACTTAGAATGTTCTAAGCAGAGGAATACTATAATGAATTCAGATTTGTTTTTTCTTCCTCCAAATGGTTCAAAGTCCAGGAATACTTTGAAATTAAACTGAATGATACTGTGTTTTCTTTCTTCTGTGAAGTTACGTATTTTTAATTTAAGCAGCTTTCTTCATAATTCTTATAGCCTTACATATTAAAAATGAGATAACCTATGGGGCCGGCCCAGTGGTGTAGTGGTTAAGTTCACACGCTCTGCTTTGGCAGCCTGGGGTTTGCCATTTCAGATCCTGGGTGTGGACCTACGCACTGCTCATTGGGCCATGCTGTGGCAGCATCCCGTATACAAAGTAAAGGAAGATTGACAGGGATGTTAGTCCAGAGACCATCTTTCTCAAGCAAAGGGAGGAAGATTGGCAACAGACGTTAGGTCAGGGCCAATCTTCCTCACCAAAAAAGAAAAGAAAAGAAAAGAAAAGATAATGTATGTTAAATTTCTGAGATGTGATGTAAATGGGAATCATGTTTAAAATGCATCACATCACATGCCTATTTTGCAGTCAGTCAAGGTGATGTTTAACTTGGCAAGATTTCGTACTGAAGCTGAGTGGGATCTTACATGTTCTCATAAAGGACTCCCTGATCTGCTCTATTTGGTGCAATGTTTTCTGAAAACACATTCTTGTCATACCCTAATAGACGTTCTCTTTTACATTAAACAAAGCTCCTAATTTAAATAATCAAATGTTAAATATTTATGGGCTCCATTTTCCGCAGAAGAACCCTGCTTGAGAGAGAAAGTATTAAAGGAAGGGGACACTGTGGATGGATGGAGCACCACGGCCCGATCTGAGAGGGAGGCTTTGGGGCCAGGAATTGTCTTATAAGGAGAAAATGACTAGAATAATAACCAGGGCTCATTGGAGCTTCTAGAAACCCAGAAAATTTAGCATCCCCTGGCAATGCGCCAAAGGTGGGTTGCTACAGAGCTCTGTTTCCATGGAAACATGATTTTATTGACCTCTAAAATGGCACAGTGTATTTTGAGATATAAGACCAAAGTTTATAAATTGAAGTACTGACCAATCCAATGAATTCTTATGGCCACTGAAGCTCAAATTTCATTTTGTTACCAACTTAGGCACATTAATGAACACGGTATTTCTTAAGCCACTAGTAAATTACATAAAATAAAACCATCGTCAGTTCTGAGTGGGGAGTAGTTACATATTTGTTCCATCAAGTTCTGTTCTGTATTTTTAAACTATCTACAATTTTTATATAGGAGATAGTGGAAAATTGGGCTAAAATGTGAACTTATACCCAATCGAATCATTTCAGATTCTATTCCAGTTACATTTAGGAGAGATGTCACTATGGGGCAAGAGATATTTAAGTGAAAATAATTGTAATGATGTAACTTCTGTTGAGTGTAGTGAGCATGGCTATAAAAAGAATGCATATTTGACCAAGTTTTGAGAGACAGTGGGAAGAGATTTGTTTGAGAGTGTTTCAGGAGCCATCAAGTCTTATTAATGGTAGACAGACTTTATTAAAATTATGGTAATATAAAGAATATTTGGAGATTGGTATGTTTTAGATTATTAATTCTAGGCTATTGAAATCGACTCTGAATCATCAATATCAGTCTTGCCTTATCACCAAATATTTTCTATGGTAATCACCTGGGTTAACCTTTAGAGGTTATTTTCTTAAGAGATGTGGTTCCTAAATTGAGGCTGGCAGAAATAAAAGTACTAGAGAATAGATCTTTTTATTTCCATGATATTTCCTCCTTAGTGACCTGCAAAGCTACTTGTGAAGAAAAGCAAGCTTGGAGCGTTAAGGGTCTTCGTAACTGTCCCACCACCGGCTGGTCCACTCGTTACTGCAGTTACTCCCACGTTGGGGGATACCAGTTTACGCAGAGATTTCCTTAGGCGTTAAAGAAGAATCAGATATTAAATTTGCAACCAGGAAACATGAGGTTCTCTGGGGTTCTCCCCTCTGGAAGCCTCGATTGATTCTGCTGTCAATTGTCATTTCTCTGGTGGGAGTGGGTGGTAGAGCAGGTAATCTTGACCCTGGCCCTGTCCTCACAAGGAGAGCCAGGGGCTCCCACAAACAGGCTTCTTCCAGCTGCTGGTTAGCTTGCCACCCACAGCTTGGCAAGCCAGAGCCTGCCGAGTGCTTTGTTCAATCCCCAGGGGAGTAAGGGAGGGCTCAGGAAACTGCTGTGACGCCTGCTTACAGCTATGGGCAGCTTCTGAGAGCTCTCCTGGACAAACGGTGCCCTCACGCTCAGGGGCTTCCAGGAGCTTAGTTAAGACAAGTTCACGTGTGGGCTGCTTGCTCGCCCTTCTTCCTGACCTGGTAGAACAGGCTTGGCTACTTAGCCAAGGCCAGTGAACAGCCGGGGAACCTGGGCGTGGTTTCCAGCTATCCTACGAGTGAAATTGGCTCCTTTGTCCATATTTAGTTGGTTACCTTAGAGAGAACAGCGTGGGGTAAAGGAAATGTGTACATCAAAGAGTAGAAGAGAGAGGAGAATGAAGATGGCTCAAGGAGGCACTTGGGCATCTGGCTGCAGATTTTGGGTGCCCTCGTTTTACAAGTCTTCTGTTTGCCTGTTGTAGTTGGTTCTAGTTAGAGTTTCCTGCCTGAAATTGGGAACACACTCAGCCTTTGATATCTTGCTCTGGAATTCGAACATTATTTACAGCTTTCTGTTTTACAAAATTGTTTCTTGCTACGTATTTACAATGTAGTTTGTCATGCTACAGCTCTCACTTTCCATAATATATGTCTCCTGGGACTATTTTGTACAGGTGAAATTGAAGAAGACTGAATATTGTAAATGGATTAATGTAACTTGATATTTAAATTAGAGCCACGTAGATTGCTTTGTAAAACTAATGATTACTTTTTATGTATCTGTTTTGTGGTATCAATGTTTTAAATATTTGGTCTACTCAAAATAAGAAAATAATCTGTGATTTTTTATTTTTAAAAGCTATCCAGCATCTCATTTTTCATTTCTCTTGACATAAACATAACTCATACAAATCCTATCTATATTTTGAAAAACTTCTACATTTCAAATCAAATGAAATCAAAACCTAAGAAATTGGAAAAAGAAATGTAAATTTTACTAACAGGAAATTGTGTTTTGTTCTCATTGGGAAGCTCAATTAAAATTATACAAAATGATATAAAATATCATTTACATTTTAACTAATGAATCCTGGTCCCAGTAAGCTATACACAACCATTACCAAAAATGAAACAAAACGGCAATGAAAAAACCCTGTAGCACACTGAATGCTCTTTCTGCCACTATTGTGGAATAGAGAATGCCTCTAGCCACCACCCATTCTTTAGAACACAGCTACACATTGTAAAAAAGCAGCCTCTAAAAGCCAGATTGTCAAGAGTCTTACCCAAAATGATATTTCTGGTGCTCATCTTCCCTTCACAGGAGAATGTAGTCTTTACTGGAGTTACTAATTGACTATTTCTAAAGAAGTTATGATTTTTGGTTATGTTTCACATGAACAAAGTCTAAGTTAGACTTGGAAATAACCATTTTTCATCTAATCAACAATCTGGGAGCTTACCAGACTCATGAGAAATTGTCTTAACAGTGAGAAGCTTCACACTCTCTTTATCGGACTGGGGCCTATTTGGAACAGAACACATTGTTAGCGCCACAGTGATTAGCAGTGAATGTCTGTGAAAGAAAGTAAATGTGATATAAACAGAATAAAGAAGATACACATGCGTATATATTTTTATGTTTCTTCACATGCAGAGAGACACACATGTACTTTAAAGCATGCTCTGCTTCTGGAATCAAGCCAATAAATCTCTGTCATTTTGTTACAGATATGATCATCAGATAAACATCAAGGTGGCTCATGTGAAACACTTGTCACAAGGTCCATATTGCACATGTCTCCAGTTCTGAGTCTGAAGGGAAAGACACCGCAATGTTTCCGGCCCTTTTGGGCTGATGCTGAGTTCTAGGAACGCTCCTTCTCATGATGTCCTGGGGACTGCAGTACAGTGTCCGAACAGTCTATTTTAACCAAGAGTTCCCACCTATTCCTTCTCAGATTCTAAACCGTTTCAAACCCCAATTCCTTTCCTCAAACATGTCAAGAGCCTCTATTTCTAATTAAGAAGGGTCGGTGATCTATGGAGACTATTTCTAAAGTTCATAACCTGATAAACATACAAAAACACCAACATAAAGGCAGACTGCAAATTCAGGTCAACAAAGAAAACTTAACCACGGAATTTTCTTTCGACATTAAAACAATTTATCTCTTTGCAGCACCTTCATTGGAATAGTTGGCTAGTTTGGTAACAATTGCTTTATTTGTTTTAATAAAGTCAAAGCAGAACAACCACCGACTGGTAAGGCAAAGCTACTCAGAGCTGCCTTGAGGTGCAGGCATGCTTTCTCCCTAACTGTGATAAAGAAAATTTCACTGGGAAAACTATTTTAAAACTCTAGGTGTGTTTTCTATGATTTTTTTCCTCATAGTTATATTCATTCTTCCATCTTTGCATTTCCTCTTCTGATTTCCCATTTTACCACTTTATCCAAGCTTAAGAGCAACCTTCTTTTTTAGTGGTTGGAATTTGTTGAATAGAGAGCACTCTGACAGACAGTTAGCCGAACCCCATATGTAGTGCTTTCTACACAAACTCTTTAAAAACAAACCAAAAAGAGGTGCAGGTAGAGGATCAATACTTTTCCTACATAAGTGGTAGGATCAGAGCTTCTAGGAAAAAGACGATGTGGCATTACTTACTGGTCGTTTCCATTGTCTGGCGCGCCTAGGAGAGGAGAGGATTGTTATTAGTGGTGCGAGGAGCTTGGCTACAAAACACCTGAGACCCCTGCCACTTTCTGTGCAGAAGTTTCTAAAGCCAATTTTTCACTTTTTCTATCCCGCCACCCATCAACCATTTCCTTGGGTGTGGTTCATACATTCACCGGGTGGTCCTAACTAGGCCAGCTCCACTGAACTGAGTTCTGGACAAATTTTAAGATCATAGTTTTATATTGCTATGTGAAACTACTATTCATTATGGCATATCTCACAGCTACCAGAAAATGTCTTAGTTTATTTCAGTACTTCTGAAAAAAATTCTCCTCAGAGTATTGAATTACCTTTTTATACCAGAAAATTGCATTTTGGCTTTTCTTATCCATTGCCCTTTCTGGAGACGCCAGTCACTGTGTTTGTGGTGAGCTATGACACAGCTGTTGCTTTAACTGCATCTGGAGCCCACTGACTCAGCCTCTCAAAAGTGCCCTGCAAAACGTTACTGAGGCCACTAAGTGCAACTCATCTTATGTGTGCTTTGTCAGGCCGCTCCACAAGGTCCTGGTAGAAAACGACTTGGGTCTGGAGGGGGAATGCAGAATGATGCATTCTGCACAAGTGATGGCCTCTTAGGAGCAGATGTTGGCACTCAGACCTTGAACTAATCCTATTGGGCAAACTATCTTCTGTAATCACTTAAGGTCACCCTTGCTTGGTTCCTCATTTTGCTGTGGTTTTATTCCACTGCTACTCAGCTCCTATCTCATGGATTTCCTTTCATCTCTAAGTTAGCTCTTGTGATGGGGATATGCCCTTTGAATATAATTTTCCTGGGTTTGACCGTTGTTGTTTTATAAAGACCTCAATTTCCACTAATATTTTGGCTACTTTTATTTCTGTCACCTTGGCTTAAGATATCCCATCACGATTCTCAATCCCAAGGATTTAATTTGTGGCACTATAATGCTGCTCACCAACTAGATCTAACCTACCATGAGTAGGGTTCTAACAGTATTTTAAAATTCCCATTGTAAGTGTTATGTGCGATACCACTCATCATGCTCATGGCCCAGTTTCAAAATAAATTGATACTTTTTGTATGCCTGTTTTAATATTTTTCCTCAGAATACTGTAATATGGATTAATTAGCAGATAGATGCATACCAACAGTCTACTTTCTGTAGATATGCCATTCTTATTTGTGCTAAAGCTCAGATTACTGGCAACATTATCCAGATAAAGTTAATTTCATACCACAATCTCTGGTTCATGTTGTCTTCCAGGGAGCAAAATGGCCTCACTTGTTTTCTGAACTTAATGAAGTTTCACCCACATACTTGAAGAGCGATTAACTGAGCGTGTTTAATGGTGCTAATTTAATGACAACAATGCTGTAAATTCTGCTTGGAAAACCAAATTAACAATAATCAAATAGATTTGGCTAATTGTACAATTGCTGCACTTGGTTCTAAAGTACTGTATGTCTTCAAAATAACTCTCTAATGGTAGGAGTATACATTTTTTTGAATGATCCAATTCATCCACAGAGTCCTCTTTAATAGAAAATGTCAACTTTTCAAAGAACTTATTTGCAAATCTTCTTATGCAGAGCGGTTTTTCAGCACGGGATATTTCTACAAATAGATGTAGCACACTCAGTTTTTACCTATCCTATACACTCAACACCCACAGGCTTCAACTTAGATGGTTGATTTCCCATAAAAGATAGGATTGGTGGTTTAGAAACTTAGAGAAATTAAACTGATTTATAAAAATGCTATTTCCCATCTGGAAACCAAGTAAGGAAACATATTTCAGACATTATTAAGAAGTTTATTCACTAACTCCCAAATGGAAAGACATTGATTTGTTTTCTTCTTATTTTCCACCCAGAGCTCAAGTGAACACTGCAGTTTCTGTCTGCTGACTCTCCCTGCACCGTCGTGCAGTGCGTGGTCAGAGGTGGGCTCAGGAGCAGCCCTCCTTAGTTATCCTGGGGGACACTGTCCACGCGGCAACAAAGGATAGTGTACATTTTATCTATCAAAGACTTTTTACTTTTTGACAGTATATTGACTTAGATAGAGTTCTGTCAGTGAAATATTTAGAATTAAAATGAGGAAAGGAAAGGTTCCATCTTACTGAAAATTTAAAAATTTAACTCAGCAAGTATACAGTAAGGCTGTACTATATATTATGCACAATGCACGGTGAACAATATGTGGTTTGTGACTTGGAGGGGCTATCTGATGTTATGGACTGAATATTTGTGTCCCTCTAAAATTCATATGTCAAATCTTAATGCCCAATGCGATGGTATTAGGATGTTGGGTCTTAGAAAGGTAATTAGGTCATGAAGGCAGAGTCCTCATGAATGGGATTAGTACCCTTATAAAAGAGACTCCAGAGAGCTCTCTTGTCCCTTCTGCTATGTGAAGACACAGAGAGAAGGCAGCTGTCTATAAACCAGGAAGAATGCCCTCATCAGACACTGAATATGACGGCAGCCTGATTGGACTTCTCGGCCTCCAAAACCGTGAGAAATAAATGTTTGTCGTTTAAGCCACCGGTCTATGGCATTTTTATTATAGCACCCTCAGTAGACTAAGACATCCATCTTGCAGGGGAAGCAGGCACATAGAGAAGTAACCGTACTATAGCGTGATGAATAACATTGTAAGATTCTATAGAATTAGAACACTCCATTCTGCTTAAACAGATGGTGTGTTATACAAAGATACATTAAATTAGTGTTTGAGCTACATCCTAATGGATAGGTTGGAGATTAGGTGCAGCACAAATACTAAGTGGTGGGCTGCACATTCTGGAAAGAATACCATGGATGCAGGTGTGGACACATGACACTCCATTACACAACCAGAGCAGGGCTCTGGAATGAAAAGAGAGATTGAAGTTCAACATGACACAGGGATTGCTGACCCATGGGGGTTGAAGGGGGATCAGATGAAGCTTTGAGTAAAAAGAGAGCCCCAGTTCCTGGAACGGAAAAAAGACTGAGTAAAGACTGCAAGAAATCTGAATAAAGTAGGGACTTTAGTTAGTAACAGTGTATTCTTACATAGTGATTACATAATGCATTACATTACAATGTCATAATTAATTGTGACAAATACACCATACTAACAGAAGATTATTAATAAAAAAGGAAATAGGGTGTGGGTATATGGAGACTCTCCATAACTATCTTAGCAACTTTTCTGAGACTCTAAATCTATTCTAAAATAAAAAGTTTACTTAAAAAAAGAATAAAAAATATAATGCAATTATTGGATCCACAAATATTTAAGAGGGAGGGGGAAGAAATTGAAAGAGCAGGAAGAAGAAAACAAAGAGTGAGGACGTAAAAAAGAACAGTGTCATTTTAAAGAAAAGAGGAAAGACTGTTAAACGTTACTGGGGAGATTAAGAAGGATAACAAAGAATTTTCAAACTAAAATCCCACTAAAAATTACAACCACGTTGTAGCCTGAGGAGCCTGTTCACTTAGCAGCACATAGTCATGGAGGGCACCTTGCCCCTGAGGAAGCTGCACCTCCCAGGAGGCTAGGAAGCCACACAGCACTCTTCCTGAGACCAGGGCCCCTAAGCCAAATTCTTAGCAAGACTTCGCTTTATTCTCTGTTGCATGGAAATGGAACAAATCTTCACTATAGATAAAGTATGTCTTTTTATGCCTTCTTTACTACCACATTCCCCCAATCACCCACAAAACTGGGGCTATTTCAATAAAAATAATTCGTTCCTATTTGATAATATCTGCCAGCAGTAGTGACTCGCCACTCCTTACATTCACGAGCATTCCATCGATTTCTCTGCCTCTTATCCTCTATTTCTGCAATCAAGCAATATGGGATTTTATTTCTTTCTATCATTCCTCTCTCTCCTTAAACGTTTAAATTCAAGTTTAAACTGAGCATGTGTATTCTCCTTTCAGGAAAACAAAATGAAACAAAACGCTGTTACCTACCTGGGTCTGTCTTCCAGCACATTCGATATAAACCCACCAGAACAAATACTGAAAGTGTTACTACAATCAAAGTAATAACCACCGGCAAAATAATACCTAAAAGATGGAAACATTGTCAATTAGAGTGGCCACTGAATTTCACAGTACAGTTTACTAACTGTGCAAAAGCGTGCATGCTTCCTTTCTTCTTTGAACATCATTCTATTAAATATATATTCTAGGCAAAGAAGATTGATCTGATTCATGGGTTTTGCTCTAGTTGTCATTTCTGACGTATCCACTGGATGTCAGTCTTGCAGTCTTTCTGAAATAAAATTCCAAACCTAAGAGAGAATTGCCCACTTTGCTGGAAACTGGAAGAGCGAGGAGATGGGAGACTGGAGAGGCAGAATACGTCCTCCAGACCTGAGTGAGACCCGCATTCACACATTGTATTCTTTACTACGTTCTAATGAAGTTACTGGAAACAAATATATGGATAGCCCATACTGGGACTGCTCTCATTGTAACGTTGGCTTTCTAAAAACTCACAGATATCTTTCCATAATAATATCTTAAAACTAAAAGGCACACAATAATAAGTGGATATTACAGTGTATATGATTTCTAAAAATGAACATGGCTCAAGAAAGACGTGCATGTGTGCGTGTGTGTGTGCATGTCTGTTTGGGGGAGTGGTGTTGCTGCAGTTTTTATTAAGAGGAGAGTTTTGCTATGTTTTTAGCATCTGCTTTCTCTTCTGACAGCCATTTCCCGGGTTCAAACCACAGTGATGAAAGGAAGAAGCTGTCACAGGGATACAACTAGAGAAGCAGAGGTTAGCTACTGTTCAGTTAGGTGTCCTCATCTCCTTGCATATGTGCTCCTCATATTCATCAGGGGGTGAGAACAGTGAGGCAATTAATTTGTGGGGTGGTTTTCACTCTCACTGTTATGCTTAAATATTTGTTTCCCATTAGACCTTGAGTGAGCTAATTACCTCCCAAAATGAAGATACCATGAGTCAGCAGGTCAACAAATGCAAAGCTGCCTTATTGAATGGAATGACTTTATCTAAACCTAAGATAATCTTTTATCACCCCAGCTTCACGTATATTCATCTTATTCTTAATTTCTATGGAAATTAATGAATTTTCTCTCTTCAGTCATAGCATACACATATATATTACGTGACATATATATGTTTTTGCTAAAACGGAATGTCTTAAAAGCCCCCCCCCTTTTTTTTCTTGGTGAGGAAGATTGGCCCTGAGCTAACATCTGTTGCCCATCTTCCTCTTTTTGATTGAGGAAGATTGCCACTGAGCTAACATCTGTGCCCATCTTCCTCTATTTTGTGTGTGGGATGCTGCCACAGTGTGGCTTGATGACCGTTGCATAGGTCTGCCCCCAGGATCTGAGCCAGCAAACCCTAGACAGCCAAAGTGAAGAGAACAAACTTAATCACTACACCACCAGGCCGACCTCTAAAGGGCCATTTTCCCCATTAAGATAAACTTCTATAAAGGTTAACAATTCATTTTTATAGAGATCTCTGCCTGTGCACTTTGGCTTATCTAAGACTAGTCTCACAAATGCACCTTGAAGCTCGGTGGCAATTGCTCAGCACTAAGCTAAGAAAAAAATCCCAAAATGTGTTCCTTAAAACCAGACTCAATAGTAGGAAATTCTCAAAGCAGGTGGCACTTAGATAGGATTCTAATGGGATTGCAGATTTAGTAAAGTTGGTAATAGTCTGTTTATAATCCAATTCTGTCCCTTATTGGTCACATTCAAATATTCTGCGTATCTACTGCCAGGAATGAAGATATGTCTATTACTCACTGGAATAAGAGGGGTTAGTTGAAGAGGAGCTTGCATTTTTTGCATTTTCAGTGCCTGTTTCTTCAAGAAAGAAAAAAAATGTCACTTTTGGTTAATGTGTGCCAATCTTCACAATCCTCCCCCACCCCCAACCTCCATGTGAGTAAGCCTCTGCGATCTACAGGCATGATGCTTCAGGTGGAAACACCACTCCTTCTCGAAGAACTCTGTTTCCTTCTTTTTCTATTTTTTTTTAATTTATTTATTTTCGGATGTACATCATAATATATTTTAATTCTGTGTAGATTACATCACGTTCACCACCCAAAAACTAATTATAGTCCATCCCCTCACATGTGAGCCTAATCACCCCTTTTGCCCTCCCCCTTCCCTTTCCCCTATGGTAACCACCAATCCAATCTCCAATGCTATGTGTTTGTTTGTCATTGTTTTTATCTTCTACTTATGAGTGAGATCATATGGTATTTGACTTTCTCCCTCTGACTTATTTCACTCAGCATAATACCCTCAAGGTCCATCCCTGTTGTCAGAAATGGCCAGATTTCATCATTTCTTATGGCTGAGTAGTAGTCCATGGTGTATAAATACCACATCTTCTTTATCCATTCGTCCCTTGATGGACACCTAGGTTGCTTCCATATCTTGGTTATTGTGTATAATGCTGCAATGAACATAGGGGCGCAAGTATCTTTATGCCTTTGCATTTTCAAGTTCTTTGGATAAATACCCAGCAGTGGGATAGCTGGATCATATGATAGATCTATCCCTAATTTTCTGAGGATACCCCATACTGCATTCCATAGTGGCTGCACCAGTTTACACTCCCACAAGCAGTGAACAAGGGTTCCTTTCTCTCCATACCCTCTCCAACATTTGTTGTTTCCTGTCTTGTTAATTATAGCCATTCTGACCAGAGTGAGGTGATACCTCATTGTAGTTTTGATTTGCATTTCCCTGATAGCTAATGATGTTGAGCATGTTTTCATATGCCTTTTGGCCATCCATATATCTTCTTTGGAGAAATCTCTGTTCAGATCGTTTGCCCATTTTCTAATTGTGTTGTTGGTTTTTCTCTTGTTGAGCTGCATGAGTCCTTTGTATATTTTGGATAGTAACCCCTTATCTGATATACGGTTTGCAAATATCTTCTCCCAATTGTTAGGTTGTCTTTTCGTTTTGTTGATGGTTTCCTTTGCTGTGCAGAAGCTTTTTAATTTGATGTACTCCCATTTGTTCATTTTTTCTTTTGTTTCTCTTGGACATGGGACTTGAAAATATGCTGCTCAGACCAATGTCAAAGAGCATACTGCCTATGTTTTCTTCTAGAAGTTTCATGGTTTTGGGTCTTACATTCAAGTCTTTAATGCATTTTGAGTTGATTTTTGTGCATGGTGTAAGATAATGGTCTACTTTCATTTTTTTGCATGTGGCTGTCCAGTTTTCCAGCACCATTTGTTGAAGAGACTCTCCTTTCTCCACCATATGGAAGAGCTCTGTTTCCTGTCTCAGGATTGGTGGGGTGTGGATGCACGCAGACTGACAAGTCTGGACGCTTGCACAGACTGTGACACCATCACCACAATCGAGGGGACAGACAAATTCAGCACCTTGGAAGTTTCTTTGTGCCTTCCCTTGACTGTGGATGTGCAGGTTTTTTGGATATCAATTATACCTCAATAAAGTTATTGTAACAAAAAAGATTGGGAAGGTTTTCTTGAGGAGGGCCCAAGCAAAGCAAGTTTCCCCTCATACACACAGAAGTTATACCCTGAGACTGTGAGACGTTTTCTGGCATTGTTATTGAGGGTAATTTACTGGTTTTAGAAGGTGATGTATCTGGTGGTAGAGTGTTACCTGTAGGAAAACCACAAATCCAGAGTCAGACCATAGCATTAACTCTTCTTACTGGATTTCTTTGCAGATTCAAGCAATTTGCATTTGTGAAGATCTGTTTACTGTTGAATAACAGAATACATACAATTGTACACTAAATCATATGTTCATCTATATGTCCTGTAAAAATGATTACAGTTAGAATCACAAAACCCAGATATCAGTATTACATCTTTAAGAACTGGCCAAATAAACTTGAGTAAGTCTCTTATCCAGGGCTACAGTCTTTATCATCTACTGCACGACATTCTTGTGGGATGCAAATCTATACAAAAGCATTATTCACATTTCAGATACTATAACTTGGGTGATAGTGATTTTTTCCCTTGAAAATACTTAAAATGGACATAAATGCACGGGAATTCAGATTTTATAGTGTTTCTTAGTGCTTGAAGTGAAAGATTGCAATGTAGACTTCGGTTAGAAGGACAGGGGGAAAAATCAAAGAAGATTCCTTCATCTTCATCTTTCAAACTCAGCAGTTGTTTACCCCCGGGTGCCTTTTCTAGAGTAACTGCTGCTTGGCTGCATTTCCACCACTGTGCATGCTGTTTTCTTCCAAAGAAAATTTATTTTTATGATTATTTGTTTGCTTAAGTTAAAATTTTCCATCTTCAGTCAGAAAGACTGCAACAAAAAATTAGGAATAAAAATGTCCTATTCAAAATCCACAAGTTTCAAGGAAATATAACCAATTAAACGTTTTATAAGCTTAAAGCATTTATTCTTGTGAATTTGGGATAAAATATAATTTGTATTTGGAAAATTGTTTGAAAAAGCATTCTGTGTCCCTTGTAGGAAAATTGATCTCTTTTTATCACACCCATTTGCCTTCTCTCTCTCTGCTGAATCGCAGCTTCCTGGTGTGCCCCACGGGGAACTCTGGCCACTGTGGATGTGCAGTGGAATGTAGCGACTGCTTGCCTGAACCAACAGCATCTCTTATCATTATGGCCCCCGTGGGCATACTGAGGTCTTTATAACTGCATCAAAGAAACTGATACTGCCTATGACCGCCTGGGATCTTTCCCTCTTTGCCACCCACAGCCCAGCACGCACTGCACACTCATACATTTTTGACATCTGTGGGGGAAGATAATGTTTAGAGTCTGTACCGTTCTTGCCATGCAAGAGATCTGTGGGAGGAAGCCAGATATATGCCCAGAAGAACAAAGAAAAATGTCAGGCTAGTGCACTAAGCAGGCAGAAAAAGGAATATTAAATCAGAGTGAGAACTGGCTGAAACCTTGGTACTTTTAGTTGCTTTTTCCAGTGTCAAGTGTTTTAGTGAGGATGAATGCTCTTTTGATTGTGTTGGTAGAGAACAAGATGGCTGATTAAATAACAAATGGCACTAATCCATGTGGGATTTCCCACGGGAGCATTGTCAAGACTCCACATCCTACCTTCTTACCTTCTCATAGGCAGGCTAAGGGGCAGCTACAGTTCTGAGCAGAATAGATCTTCTTCAGATGAAACTTCAAGCTTTCCTACGTCAAACTTGTTTACTGCCCAGTGCCAACTGCTACTGCTAATGATCCATAGGCAGGCAGGAGAGCTAACCCTTCTTCAGAGAAGGATTTATTGACTCCTTGAACGGAGACTTTAAAATTTTTGGGTTTTTTTTCTTTTAACTGCAACCTTCAGTTAATTAATTACTTCTGAATCCAGTACACACACTCAATTTACCTCTACTACATGTAATTCCTTCTGGTATTTTTTTTTTTTTTTTGTATTTAAAAGAAAATATGACCCACAATTAGAGAAAACCTGCCAATTAGCATAATCGTATTGACGAAATTATGGTTCTTGGCTGAATTAGTGGACGTGAACCTAATACGATTCCTTCTGCAACTAACACGGAAGAACACGGTGTGTTCAGAGCTGACGATCTCTTGGTTTTGTTGAGACTATTGCCCTTCGTTACTAGTAAAGCAGCATTGGCAGAGGAGGTGCAAGAGAGGTACAGGCAAGTAGTTAAGAGCATGATTCTGAAGACAGAGTACATGGGTTCAAATCAGGCTCTAAGCACTTGTTTGCTGTGGGGCGTTGGGCAAGTCACCTAACCTCTGTGTCTGAGTTTCCACATCTACAAATGATGATCATAATAGTTCTACATCATAGTATTATTGTGAAAATTAGATGAGTAAAAACAAATTCAAATTGCTTAGAAGAGTACCTAATACTAATATGCTTATATTATGTATACTATTATAAAATTGTAACATAATATGCCATGTTATATTATATTAATATGTTACATTATTTGATAATAATATTCCATTATTATATTGTGATTAGGCCCTTAAAGAGTTGTACCCTTTAACCAATTTGTCTAATTTTCTCAAAAATTCCAAGTGTAAAAATACATGAAATAGACTCTTCAGACATCTCCATGTTTCAGATGCTTCTTTGCTCTGGGCAGGAGCTGGAAATGCTGGAGTATTTGGTGCTCTTAGATGACAGAGGTTTGCTCCTGGACCCTGACTTTCGGTGACTGTAGTGATTGTGGATATGTTGTGTCTTGATTTAAATGCAGTTTGCAAACTTCAGGCCAGAACCTGGAGCAGGCTGTTTGAGGCAGAGACCCTCAGAACCTAGTCTGCTGTAATAATATGTACCCAAATTTACCCCGTTGGCATCTGACAGTGGTACATATTTGGCCCTTGCTGTAAACTAATTATTTGATAAATCATTTGGAGTTTTAAAGACAGAAGACCTTATCGATTTTCCAGGGCTCCTGCGGTGGCCACGAGAATGCGCCTACAGTCCTTCAACTACAGACAGCATAACTGAGCACCTTCCCCGCCTGCTGTCTGCACTGCATCACTGCTTTTGGGCTGATGCCTCCCCCGGGATGCTCCCAGCCAATGACTGAGCCTGGCAAGGATGTGAAAGCAGGCCTGTTCCTGGGAGCCAGAGACTCCTCTGAGGACATGTGTTCAGAGTCTCTGATGGCTTTCTAGAACCTTCCTTGGGGGAAGGGAGAGAATACATGGACATAAATGGGAGATAAATGTGAGAGACAGTAGAGGATAAAACATGCTAGTATGAGAAAGAAAGTGAAACTATGTGTTCTTATAAAATTATTTTTATTCCCTTGTGTTGCCTACACTTCTTTTTGATACACGGACATTTAATATGTGTCTGAGGGGCTAAAACTCAATTGAATTGAATGACTATTAATTGTTTTCCATTATTTATAAATAATTGGAACTGGTCTCTAATTGCAATTTGATGGATTCATGTCCCATTTTAAAAAAGAACTTCACAGGGGCCGGCCCTGTGTTTGAGTGGTTAAGCTTGCACACACTGCTTTGCCAGCCTGGGGTTTGCCAGTTTTGATCCTGGGCTCAGACCTACACACTGCTCCCCAGGCCATGCTGTGGTGGCGTCCCACATGGAAGAGCTAGAGGGACTTATACCTAGGGTATACAACTATGTACTGGGGCTTTGGGGAAGAAAAAAAAGAAAAAAGAGGAAAATTGGCAACAGGTGTTAGCTAAGGGCCAATCTTCCTCACCAAAAAAGCACACATTTAAAAAAAAGAAAAAGAAAACCTTTTCAGATGTTGACACAATAAATCATTCACTCCTCCTTAACACATGTTCCTCACGTGGCTTCCAGTAGAGCATACTCTGTTGGTTTTTCTCCTACCTTATGGCTTATTCTTCTTGGTCTCCTTGGCTGGTTCCTCATCTTCTTTCTGACTCACAATCTTGGAGGGCCCCAAGACTTAGTTCTTGCTCCTCACTCCTCATCTTTAACTGCATTAATTTCTTTGGTGATCTCACTTAATTTCAACGTTTAAATACAATGTCAGTGCCTGATCACCCAAATTATACTTCTAGCCCAGGAATCCTTCCTAAACTCCAGATTCATAAATTTAGATTCCCTACTGGCAAATAATAAAAATCTAAAACTCAGCATGTCCAAGCTTGAACTGCTTTCTCTGAAGCCTTCCCATCCTGGCTGATGGCAGTCACTCGTTCCAACTGACCAGGCCAAAGACGTCAGAGCTATTTTTGACTCATCTTTTTCTATGGTACTCCACATGCGATCATCAGGAAGATCTACTGGCTGCACCTCCAAAATATATCAGAATTTAGATATTTCGTGCCACCTACCTGTGACCATCCCGGTCCAAGCTACCATCATCTCACTCCTGGAAAATTTGTAAAAGGTAACCTTGCTTCAGCTGACAGTCTCTCCTGAGCTCACAGAGTTATACTTATAAAACATGAATCAGATCATATCACCCCTCTGCTCAAAACCGCCAGTGCTTCTCCATTCCACTTACAGAAAAAGCCAAAGTCCTTGCAATAGCCCACCAAACCCTAGGTCATCCGCCGGGCCAGTCCCTGCCTCCCCGCCCACGGACTCGGCGCATGTCTGAAACACCCCCGGCGGCTCGTCCAGTTCTGGCTCTGCTTGGATGCTCTCCCCCTACACCCGTGGTGGCTCACCTTCTTCTCATATTTACTCAAATCTCTTCAGAGCGGCTCACCTTGACTAGTTTTTCAACACTGCGAACTGGTCCCCAAGTCCCCAGCACTCGTGACCCCTCCCTCCTACATGGCTCTGCATGTGCTCTCATCGCACTTGTCACCTTCTAACTTGCTATGTCATGTAGTTAGCGTGTTTCTCGATCATAGTTCGTCTCCACTACCGGAATATAAGATCCTCGAGGGCAAGGGTCTGTATTTTGCTCACTGTGTCTCCCAAACGCTGGAGCAGCTTTGGAAGCAGGGTCCGTAAGTCTTTGTGGAATGGATAAACAAACGTTTTGGCAGCAGAAGTGACTACTGTTAAAGACAAAGTAAATTAGTAAGATGATCATTTTTATCTTAATAGTAGGACTGGTACGTATTTAAAATCATTGTTTCATTAATTTTTTCACGTTTTCTGCAATAATAGAAAAAATAGACACCTACTCTGGGTCGACAGTAGCTGTCGAAGGAAGTAGCGCAGAGCACAGAGGCAGGTGTTGCATTCAGGGGCTTAACGGGGAGGCGAGACGCACACCCAAGCTGACAGACATGAAGCAAGAGGTAAAGAATAAGGCAAACAGTGCGTCCAGGAGCAAAATAAGAGAGACTATGCTATTGTTTATGGAATTTTACTTATAAACGAACTCCTAACCAAATGGATTTGAGGAACTTACACCTTGATATATACCATAAGATGAATGAAATAGAAATTGGAAATCAGGACAAACGCAAATGGAAGAAACAAGCAGCGCCTTGTAAGAGGTAATACGAGGCATCCATACAGTTGCCAGCATGCCCATGGGAACTGACTCTGAGCATCCTGACTCTCAGGCAAAGGAAGCCCAGTGTCCCCTACTCTAGGCTTTCACCGTCAGAGCGGAAGATGGACTCTTAGATCAGTGAGTGGCACCTAAGTGGCACAGACTGTAAACGCCATGAGTACGGTTGGTGCCATTCTGTGTTGGGAGGCAACGTGCTGATATGATCCCTGAAGTTTCTTCTGGCTTCAAGATTTTAGATTCTTGCCACGGTTCGTTTTAATCCAGCCTCTGTCGAGCTAGTATGTACTTTCACCCATAACAGCACACTCCATCTGCTTAACGGGCACAATATCAAAGGGGAACTTCTGTGTCTTTACATGATGAAAATTAATTTCTGCTCTCATCAGACCTTACCCTTCTGACCTAGTTGTACTCTTAAAGCAATGCAAAAAAAAAAGCTTTGTCTCAAATTCCCTTCACTTTGCTTTGGGCCATCAATGTGACTAACCTGAGGTGACAGCATCCTAACCCAGTAATAACGGTGAATGGCGATTTTTTACTTTAGGTAACTCTGTTGAAATATATGTTGAAGAAGAACGATGTATTTTTCTTTTGTGATTTGAGTATAATAGTTATTAATTTCCATAAAATTACATACAATATACAAAGAATGAATGAGGCACTGTGCTACGTCACTTCCATATGTGCTACTTCACCTTGTTCTTAAGCATATTTAATTCTGTGTTTAAAGATGAGAGATACCGTGGCTTAGAGAGATAAGGTAATACATCTGACAATAAGCGAAAAAGCTAAGACATAAGCCAAGTATGACTCAAAATCCTTTCCGTTTCCTTTCCATTAAGTCATGTAATCAACATATTTTAAGTGAGTTGAGTTCATCTTACTTGTTAACGGCATCATTATCAATGAGATCAATGAAATGTGTTCTCAGGATTCTGAAAGGTTTAGAATGTTCTAACACTTCCCCCAAGACAGATACATCATCTTACCTCAAATTCACAATTTGAATAGTATGACCTGAAAACATTAAGAAACTTTTCAATATGCCATATGCTTTCTGAGAATGTGAGTGTAAGTCATCTAAAATACAGACATGAAAATACTAAAAAGGATTTTATTTTCAAGCCCTTGTAGGACACTATGTGCCAGGCATTGTTCTAAGTGTTTTACAAATATGAACTCAGTCAATTATTGTTTTATTAATATTTGCATTATAAAAAGTGTAAACGGAAGCCCAGAGAGATTAAGTAATTTTCCCAAGGTCATACAGCAAGTAGGCAGCAGAGCCAGGATTTGAATTCAGGTTTTGGATTCTGCTGTCAACCAAGACCCTATGCTGCCTAAGCTGCTGCATATCAGTAGGAATGAGTTATAAGTACATTCCTCTTGTTTTGAATATATACCTTGTTTTGAAATATAATCTATTTCAATCCAGGTCCCAGTCAAGAAGGTATTACTCCCGTCAAGACAAGTTGAACACCGCCTTCCTTCAACAGGTCCCAAACCATGCAGATACATATGAGGAGACAGAGGGAATGGGTCCCAACACACTAAATCAAGCACATCGTAGTGTTCAGTGGAGGAGCCCGTCTCCTGAGCAGCACCATGGAAACGTGACGCTTCCTAAGCTCGGTGCTGAGACTGTGAGTTTTTAGGATTTTTCTGTGTAGACTGAGAGGTGTAAGAACAGAGCAGAGAGCTTCTCAAAGACTCAGCAGATCTCTGACAGGAGGACATACCTCTTAGTATACCCAGAATTTATACAGCTTCCTAAGTGGAGGTTTATGCCAGGCCCTACCACATAAATATTGATATTTTTCCCATTCCAAAAGTGAGTTCTTTTATTCTCAACTAATCTTTTAAACATCATAGAATTCCCAAGTTAAAAAAAAAACTCTGGTTATTGCTTTGCTACAGGTGTATTTGTAGCTTGAGTGAATCCTAATTGAACAATAGTGTCAAGATTCTGTCATTAAAAGTTAGAAAACTCAGTTAAGCAACTCTCTGTATAGAATGATTCATGCTTCACTTTATATGAATTCCTATAGATCAGCGACTGGTCCCCAGGCATCACACAGAGTGTGGAGCACACTAAATACGTCAGGACGGAGCGTCCTCCGTTCCAAAGGCCCGTGGGCAGTTTTGACAGAACTAGTAATGTCTGTTCTGGCTGCTGATTTTCCATCAAAGGTGGAATGATGCAAGCGAGGCTTTGAAACATAGTTAAGGACATTAAAGAAGATGGTACATTGAGATCTTTCACAGGTTGTGCTGGTCACTATGGGACTGCTGTTGTGATGATTAATTTTATGTGTCAATTTGCCTTGCTCATGAAGGTGCCCAGATATTTGGTCAAGTATTATTCCGGGTGTGTCTGTGACAGTGGTAAGATGAACGTTTGAGTCAGTAGACTGAGGAAAGGAGACTGCCCTCCCCACTATGGGTGGCTTTCATCCAGTCAGTTGAAGGCTTGAATAGAACCAAAAGCCTGATCCTCCGTCAAGTAAAAAGGAACTCCTCCTGCCCAACTGCCTTGAGCTGGGTCATTGGTCTTTCCCTTCTTTTGGACTTAAACTGAAATCCTGGCTTTTCCTGGGTCTTGAGCTTGCTGCTTCCCAGACTGTTGCTTACACCGCTGGCTCCTCCGAGTCTCAGGCCTTTGGACTTGGACTGGAACAGCACCATCCGCTGCCCCAGGTCTCCAGGCCTCCAGCTTGCCAAGTGCAGATCTTGGGACTTCTCAGCCTCCATAAAGTATGAGCCAACTCCTTATAGCAAATCTCTTTAGAGATTTACATATGTGTATACATGTATATCTCCATCCTATTTTTCTGTTTCTCTGGAGAATCCTGACTAATGCAGTTGTATTTTCGAGAAAATTAAGGGCAAATGGTTTATTTCTTTCCCAGTACACTGAGGCATGTTGGTCCACTTTTTTTCAGAGCTGAGGTCTCTTATCAAAGAAATCAAGAGGTTCATTTTCAAGGACAAGTTATCAGCTCTGCCTGTCTGTGGGAAAATGATAAGGCTAAAGAAAAGTGAATTCCATCATTGCTTACAATTGTTGTAATGGCCACAAAATGTCTACACATAACTGTAGGGAATAAATAGCCCTTCGTCACTTTTTAGTGGGTCTTTCCCATATCCTCATTTGTGCTGAACTCCAAGCTAGAGAAACGAGTGAGCAGAATAATCCGACCCTGGAAGGTCACTTCTTCCATGAACACTTTCCTTGTCTTTCTGAACTGCTTTCCCCACCCAGTGTAAACCATATCCACAGCTAAAGGGGAAAACAGTCTCCCCCACCTCTGATCTTAACATAAGGTTCTCTGAAGCCCCCTATGACTCATCACTCTCTACCTACATGACTACTGCAGTTATTACACTAGACATTCTCCTGGTCTGCGTTGTTTTTAACTCAAGATCTCCTAAACATTTCAGTTGCCATGTAACATTTTCCTCTGCACTATTTCACTCTGCCTTCAAACTGATTGATCTACTTTGTCTCATTCTTGGGATTTTACCCATGAATATTTTCAGAGGAAACAAAATTAACTTACCTGTTCTTTCTGTTGTTTTGGTTGAATTCTGATTCTCAGCTGTAAAGGAAAGAAAAGCAAATCACTAAAATTAAATGTTGAATATTAGGTCTGTTCTTAGAATTGTTTCAGGTGGTAAATGGATATAGATCTTAGCTCATTTCTGATGCACTTTTCCTCAAATCATGAAATCATGAGGCTGCATGATCAGAAGAAACTTTAGAACAGAGGTCAGCTAACGTTTTTTAAAGGCCAAGTAGTAAATATTTTAGGCTTCGTGGGCCATAAGGCTCTGTAGGGACCACTCAACATTGCCAGTGTAGTGTGTATGCAGCCATACACAGTACCTGATGAATAGGTTTGACCGTGTTCCAATGAAACTTCATTCAGAAAAACAGACAGGGGCTGGATTTGCCTGTGACCCCCAGCTTATTGAATCCTGCTTTAGAGAACCTGGTACAGGCTTACATCTTGAATACACCAAGATAACACAGACAACTCCAGGCCTTTGGTATGTGCCTCATGAGTGGCACTGCCGTGTGTCATATTCCTACTAAAATATCATGCTTCTCCTGAGGAGGAGGATTTAGAAAGTCCCAGACAGATGTCTTTAAAACATAGGGAATTCTTTTAAAGAAAATATAGTCTAGATGAGCTTTCTACAAGTAAAATCACTTGAGAGAATTATAATCAAAGATCACTTCAGCAACTTTGAGTATATGCCCACGAGCAAGATTTGCTACGTGAAAAATATAGAAAATAATTTTGAAACAAATAGAAGCCCAATAATGATAGTTTAAAAACATGTTTGCCTCTTTTGTATCTTCACTTGACTGTCCGTCAGCATCTCAAATTTAACATGCCCAGGCAGGGCTCTTGACTGGCATCCTCAACTCTGCCCCTTCCTGGACCTTCGTGGGTCAATTGTCCCCCAGGTGCACAAGCCAAAAAGTAGTGGCCTCTCTTGCTTCTCCTCTTTTTCTCGCCCCCATCAGCTCCAGCTTCAAAATATATTCCAAATATGTCTTCTCACCGTTTAATAGGCTACAGTTCATCTAGCACCCGTATCTTTCCCCTCAGAATCTGCAGTGGCCACCTAGAGAAATCTGTCTGAATTTAAACTTGGCTGCCCCAATGGCTCCCCATTCTTCTCCTTACTATGGCTGGTAAGTCTTTACATGCTCCTCAGTTCATCTCCAACCCTTCAGCCCGTTTCACCCTGTCGGCCCTTCCTGCCTCAGGCTTCCCTGCTGCTCTTCCTGTGCCTCGCGTGGTCCTCGCAGGCTTACATCCGCTCCTTCTCCCTTTCGGGACTCTGCTCAGATGTCACCACTCACAGAAGTCTTTGCAACCACCTTAGGTAAAGCTGTCTCCTCATATCCCTTCCCACTAGCCCACCATCCTGCTTCATTTGCTCAACAGTACTTTTATTACTACAGTGACATTTGCTTTATTTAAAAATTTTTTTTTTGACATCAGAATGTGAGCCCTGTGAGGAGAGGGACCTCTTGTTTTACTCAGAGCCACCATTTCAGGGCCCACCGCTGGGAGGTGGCAAAATAGGTCTCCAGTAAAAACACATGGAATAAACGAATGAGAATAGAAAATAATGATACTAACAAATGAGACTAATTCTACCTACCTGAGTTCAATTGTTAAGGGAAAACGAATGCTCTATTTAAAATTGCTAGCTGGATAATGATAGCTACCGTTTTTAAAACAACGCATGATCGGTTCCATATATTATTTGCTGATGTCTACCAGAGAGATATTATTATTCCCATTTTGTTCATCTGCAAATATTAGCTAAGAGAAGTGAAACTACTTTCTCAAGAGGGGGGTCACGATTTTAATTTAGGTCTGTTGGTTCTAATGTCCATCTTCTTTTACTAAAATAGACAGCTTTTCCTTCCACTGTATTGTTCCGAATGGAAAGCTTATGTAATTAAGCCCTACTTTTGATAACTAGTGAAAATACTTTTGAACATGCCATAATGCTGTATTTGGAAGATGCAGTTAAAATATTTATCAGCTGCTAGAGGATTAGAATACAAAGAAAATTAAAATCCTTTGTTTCCCTTGTTTTTAATATCAGGTCATGACCTTTCTTGCTGATAGACTTCACTGAGAAGGAAAAAATTTTAAACTCACGTCAGATGAAACCTTCTGACTATATTTGCATTTTTCTCAGTCTTCAAAAATGCATAATAATTTTAGACGGACATATCATATAAAACAAAAATAACTATGTCTTAAGATGTAGCTGAATCTTAAAAAAAATATAACATATACCAATTCAAAACCCTTATCTTGACTCCTAAGAGGTCCAGGCTTTTTATATATAAATGAATATATTGTTATTCTGAGGACAAAATACTGCAAATCTTAAATATATAATCAGTACTAGAACATATGCTTTTTCCCTGAAATCAAAGAGATATTATTTTGGCTATAATAAAGTGTTCTCATATGGCATACCACTTACAAATTTGGATTCAGTTCTGCAGATATAAAAGCTAAAAGAGAGGTGAATGCTACAGAATATGGTTAAAATTGTGGGACTTAAAGAAATGTGAAGACATTGGCAACTATTCCTGGTTTTCACCTATAACTTTCATAATACATATGTGTTTTGAGAAAAGTCCAAGCTCTAATCTATAGAGGAAGTGAGTAAGGTCAAATAGCAGATGAGCGTAGTGCACTTCCGTTAACCTGTTCTCAAACTTAGATGTTTAGTAAAGACCAAAACCTTAGTCACAGTGGTTGGCAATTCAAAATCTGTTTGTTGAATTTGATTTTATAATGTGAAATGGAAGTCTTATGAAATGCAAACGGACTTCTAAATTGCTAAACTTTAATCCACATTAATCCAAAGCTAAACTTTACTCAAACAGTTAGCTTCTAAAAAAGAAAGCTTAAACAACTATACAAAAAATAACTTTGCTAAATATTCTTATCTTACAAAGGATATTGTGTTTCTAGCTATATTTAGTTGTATATATGGATGGATGTATATAGTTACACACAGAACAAATCATTAACAAGTCCAGGAGAAGGAATATATACAGCCCTTCCCACATATAATCTTTCACTGATTTGCTTTAAAATAATTTATTATGACCAATTCAAGTTGTCCCATACACAGTGAGTCATTGTATGTAAGATTATTTCTGGTTTGGCTAAACTGTGACTTGTGACTAACACTTTGTTATCCTGAGGATTCTTCTTGTATCTGCCCACATGAAATGATACAAACTAATTCAATATCATACGTTATGATTAAGTTCCTAAATGAGCGGCACAGACAAATGGTGCAATTCACAAAAGAAATAATGAGGCTTAGCAACCAGACAAATTAATGTTTTCCAAAGGACAGGATGCAGAGGATTCTGAGAGAGATTCTATAGGGCAGTACTGGACAGTGGCATTAAGTAAGATTGAAACACCCAAGGAGAAAGTTATTTTCTTTTCAGCTTTCTTTCAGTTTGATTATTCCAATGAGGAAGTTTCAAAATTTCAGTTTGATGCAAATATATAATTAATACCTACTATGTGCTTATCTTGATCTATTTTTTAAACAAGAATGAGCAAACTTCAAACTCAAAGCCTTGGCAAACCATAAAATCTAGCTAGAATTTAATTTTATTTTGTTTACTGTAGTGGTTTTACAGTTCCTGTTTATCTACGCCAAGTGAAACAAGTCTTTCATTTATGATGGTTTCCTTTTCAAACAAATTTAAGAATAAAAAGTGCCTCAATTTAAAGAAACTTCTAAATAAATAACAGGGCAGATGGTACGCATATCTGGCAAGACTCATTAAGCTGTGGGAAATACTGAGGTAAATCCTGTAGAGGTTCTTGATGGATGGGAGGAATTTGAATAAGCAATTGGAGGGAGAAAAAGGGGAAGAAGAAACAAGGACCACACAAATGAGGAGGGCAGGATGAGAAAAACCCACGCAGTCAAGAGGAAACCCGGCACGATGGGCAACAGGGAGAGAGCCCCTCTGGTTAGAATCCCAGGGTTATTCAGCATGCTGGTCACTGTCTTGTGTTAGAATCATTGAATATCGACTTGTCAAGCATGTGATTTTTGTTGCTAGTACTGTGGAGTCAGTTCCAACTCCTAGTGACCCTGTGGATGGCAGTGCAAACCCCTCACCTTCCAGTACCACATCAGACAATGCTCTGATGCTATTGTTGGGGTTTTCATGGCAAATTTTTTTGGAGGTGAGTGGCCAGGTCCTCTTTCTTAGTCTGTCTTAGTCTGAAAGCTCCACTGAAACCTGTCCACCATGGGTGACCTGCTGGTGTTTGAAATCCTGGTGGCAGAGCTTTCAGCATCACAGCCACACGCAACCACCACAGTATGACAACTGACAGACAGGCAGTGTGGTTCCCTGACCAGGAAAGGAACCCACGCTGTGGCAGTGAGAGCTCCAGATCTTAACCACTAGACCACCAAGGATGGCTAAGCATATGATACACCCAATTAAAAGCTAGTTGTTTTCCAATATCTTTAAATACTTTTTTGGAATAGTTGTATCAAGAACAAGTGTGGTATAGTCAAGAGTTTATGGAGTTTGGGGCAGGAAAAACAGTGTTTGAATTTCATCCTTTCAATTTAAGCTTAGCCAAGTTATTTAGTCTTTCTGAACTTGTTTCCTTATTTGTGAAACTGATATCATAAATACCAACATTGCCTGGCTTTTATAAGTATTATTATTAAAAAATAATAGCTAACATTTATTGTGTTTACTTGCCAGACACTGTTTTAAGCTTTATATGTTTTATCTCATTTAATCTTCACAAGAATCCTGTAAGGGTATAATCTTATAACTATTTTACAGATGAGGAAACTGAGGCACAGAGAAGTTAAGTGGTTTACCAAAGGCATAGTACAAATAAATGGTTGTGCTATTATTTGAACCTAAGCAATCTGACTTCAGAATCATGATTCATACCAACAAGCTAACTTCCTCTTGGCATGACTGGAGTGCCTAATTTTTATTTTCAGAAGGGTGTGGTGCCTTAAAAAGCACAGGCTTAGGCGTAGGCCA